GGCGTAAGATCGCGTCGAATTAATCCAATTCTGGTTCTAATCCACCAGGGTACCACAGCTGGTTCCATCTTCCACTGACTCATCTGGAGAAAGTGCAGATCTTCTCGTTAAGTCACTCCAAGACCACACCCGACACTACTTGACTCCACCTTGATCACATCCCCGTCAAAATTGTGCTGTGCACTTTACACACAAACGCCACTCCTGGTTCTGTGACGTCAGTCAAACCCCTTTTACTTAATCATTGCATCCTCATCAGACCGCCGTCTTGTTGTTAAGCTACCTGGCTTACTGCTGAAGGGTTCTCAGATTCCTACATTCACCTTCGCCGTTTGCAGTAGCAATTTCCATCAAATGAAGTACTTCAATAGTGTCTAATCCTTCTTGGGCAGTTGACAGTGTTCGATATCATTGTTCGCGGCGCGTGTGGCAAGAGATCGTCAACTCAAATCATCTGCTAGGTTAAGGTGACCTTGGCAAAGGTCGTTTTCCCGCGTAGAGTCACGTCAAATTCGTCCAATTCTCGTTCTATTCCACCAGAATCCACCTTACTCACATCCCCGTCAAGAATGTGTTGTGCGCTTTAGACACAAACGTCACTTTGGTTCCTACGACTTCAGCTAAAATTGGTCTGACTAATGAAGCAAAAAAGGTTATACGTTGAAATCACCATGGGATATTCATCTTGGAATCCGTCTATACAAGCAAGTCAAATGCTAATGTCGATGTTGCTTAGTAAAAAAAAACAAAATAATTGGCGGATTTTTTCAATTTACGCGATCTTGAGTGGTACCACCTCAATCCGCCAACAATGCGATCTAAAGAGTTGTCACAACAAGTGGTTTTCTGCACACTGATGTCACAGCTGTGCCAGTCCTTGAGCAGTTGGCAGCTCCACAAGACCAGTTCTACGAAAGAGGAATGTGCCAAGAGCATTCCACAGCCACACCCCTTTCACTTGAGGCAAAGCAACTCCAAATCATTTAACACCGCCACGAGCAACTACGTTGGTACACACACACACACTTTACACACACACTAAAAACTTCACAAAAATCTGGCTATGCAGAATTTGCAGAACGGGCATAATTAGCCCACTTTGATCTGATTCCGTCCCACTAAGACGCGGAAGAAGCCGCATTCCTTGGAAACTTCTGGGAAGTTGACAGATTAGCTTCCACGAGGGAACTTCCGTGTGTAGACCTGCGTTTCCTTGGTTAATTACCGCAATGGGGTTTACGTAAAAAAACATTGGCTGAATCCTGAATGATGAGGAAAACGTGAAAACCGCCATTATTTTATTTTATTAAAATCTCGAAACTGACAGGTTGTCGTTAGTGACCATTCAAAGTCAACCAACGAACATTGCGGATTTAGGCAACGTCGCATTTGTTTTCGCGCAATTTTTCAAGGTTGAATGAGAAAAAAACAAGTGCTGTTTTTTTCTGATTTTTTGATTTGGCAAATCGGTTTGACTCTCCAAAACACAGGAGGAGGGGGGGCAAGAATTTGGAAGCGATGGCAGCCAGATTTTAGCTGAGGGAGAACAGGCGCATCGATCATGATTGTTATGCATGAAATAGTGTTTTCGGCTATCTTGATTGACTGAAATGTTGCATCCCATTGGGCTGTTGTGTGTTATTTTTGAAAAGATTAGTCAGAAAGTATGCGAAGTTAATTAGTAAGTCTGCCTAGATTGTTATCTATAAAGTTTCTGCATTCTTAAATCATTCCTTGTGTGTCTTTTACATTGCTTGTTTTACTAGACTCAGGTTTTTTGGTTAGCCAATGAGCGTTATGAATGCTGGACATGGTAGCGTAAATAAGGTGTCCACTATCAATAGCCTTTCAATGTTTAAAATCGGTGCTGCCAAAATGCCACCGTGAATTTACACAAAATCCCATTAAATTTTTTGTCTTTAGACTTTCTTCTTGGCTTAATTTTGTCGCCACGTTAGCACTTCGCAAAAATAATTTTACAGGTTGTGAACGCAGGTTTTCTAAACAAGCATAATGGCGCGTTTAAGAAATATCACGCATTTATTTAAGGTGTCATTAAATATCCGTATTTTACAGATGCGCTCGACCGGAGAGACAATTTAGGCTGCTTTTATTTTACAAATCTGCAGTGATTACTGATTCTGTCCAACAAAGACTAGTATCGGTCGGTTTTCCTAGACAATTGATGGGTCATTGATTCCGCGATAATGCATTTTTAACCCTCTTATTTCCCCCTGTTATGAGTCCTCAACTACCTACTAAATTTCCATGAAAAAGTACCATCGTTTTGGATTTTTGGCTCGAAAAACCTTTGGTTTAAACAAAACCAAGCCGTAACAGTTTACCCCGTAGTCTCAGAGCGAAATCACAATTGCTAACCACCTTTGAGTAAAATTTTGTGTCAACCCTGTGACCACATGCCTGCTACCCACTTGAAATTAAAATTGATTTGACTGACATGCTTTAAATTTGCAAACTCAGAATATTTCCGACCAGGTCAGTCTTTTGTTCAGCTGTCACTAACTCAGAGGTCAACAGTGACAGCACATGCCTAGCATGACTTAGCAATTAACCACGGACCCATGACGGCTGGAAACATGCAAGAAGTCGTATTTGACAAACTTGTGTTTGGCAGAAATGTGAAAAACCACGAAAACTCATTATCTCTGTGTACCTTGATTCACACGGAATGACTGAAGGCCCACATGTTTGTGTTTTAATTTGATTGGTTGGAAATGCCACCGAAAATGTGTTTACCATTCCCAGAACACACGTGAAGCTGATTGGCTGGTGGTGGTTGAGTCGAGGTTTGGGCAATTTGGCATTCGTCGTGTTGCCAAGTTTTTTGTCTAATTTTCAGTACTTCATGTAACTTGCGCAACCCCACACACCTGTGTGTGTACTTTTGCCGTGAAGCAATAGTTGTTCTAGTTGCCAAGGCTAGCTCTACTCTTGCATGGTTGACCTGTTTGCGTTTGAGCACACATGCTACCTGAAAGCAAACCTGTTAGCGTCAAGTGTCGTAAAATTTTGTTTAAATCTTCTACTCCGTTTGAAATTTATGCCCCAACGAGCCTTCTGCATGTCAATGCCAATTAAATACTGCGTGCAAACTGACCAAACCACTTCTTGGAGCGTCTAATTGTCGCATTTAGTCACCACGCTAGTAGGCCTTTTTTTCATTTTAAAGACAAAAACACATCCACTTCGTCCTTCAGACAGCTGAATCGGTCTAACTCAATCAAGTTTTCCAGAAAAATAACCAGTCCTCTGGCGACATTCCCATCGATCGTCGAAGTTGACGATGGAAGCCTTCCAGACACTCCACAGCACGCTAAATTGTTGTATTTTAAGTGCTTCTGCAATTTTTTTCAGTTATAAAAAAAGAAAAACATTTTATCTGCCCAGAACTGAGTTTTCGTAATTTCGAGGACTCAGCCATCGGAATAGACAAATGTCTCGACGGGCCATCTGACCACCCAATTAAAAATTGTCCAAGATTTCAAAATTTAATGCAACAATTAAGGTATATTTCGGTCACTTGAGTTTTCAAAAATGTTGGGTGTTTTGATCTTCTAATTTTAGCAAAGTAGACTATAAATTTCTGAAAATTTGGTGCGTTAGGGACCAAGGACGTAAAATCCTTTCAACTCTACTTCAGAGTAGACGATTACATCAGAATTTGTCTTATTTAATCACAATCACATTATTGACAAAAATTTCAGTGTTTGGGGGCATGATCCTTTCACAAGAAATCAACGTTTATCATGAGTAGTTTAGTTTGGCGGCATCACCATTGGCAGTGGGCAATCGGGACATTTGATAGATCTGCGATTGGTCAGTTTCTTTGAGAGTTGAGCAACCAATCAAGTTCCAGCAAAGCTCGATTTCGCTCATGATTGGCTAAGCAGGACTCCGTGCACTGTCTGTCCATAACCAACAATCGCAACGAGTAACAATGACGAATCACACTACACGGTGGAACAAAAACTGTTCTATTGCTACCAGTTACTAAGATTTACTTAACGAAGGAATGTATTTAGCCCAGTTGAACGATTTAACTTGTCGATTTTTAAAAGAAAGTTTGTCAAGTATTATAAAAGAAGGCCATTGGACAGTTTGGAAAAAGTGGAAATTTGATTGGTCTCTATGTCTAAGTAGGACTGGGAATTTTCGCGAATCGGTTTTACGATAAAAAAATGTGAGTGATTACATAGATTAGACAGGAGATTTCATGTCCGCCTTGACGGTAAAAATTTGTATTAGGTGGAAATTTTGTCCGAAAAGTTTACCGCCTCCTGCTTTTTTATTGGTCAGTTTCAGATGCGGACAATAATGGTGTCCAAGCCTGAATTGGTAGCCCATCAACGGATAAAACTAACTGATTTTTTGTTCATAGAGCACCGCACATGACGAGACTGGGTGACTTTTACAGATCTGAATGCGCACATTCACACACACATACGCACACACACACACACACACACACAACGTCATCAAACCAATCAGCCGCCACTCTGCCGAATTATATAAGCTTGGAGCGTGTGTCTTAGGTGGTTCTGCTTGCGCGACAAATATGAAGGCAATCATTGCTCTTTCTCTAACACTTTTCCTCCTTAACGGAGCAGTCCAATTGGCTGAATGTGCCGAAACCGCAACCACCCAACAGCCAGTTGTTCAAGAGGAGGTTAGCCAGAAGTACTGGCAGAATTTGGCTGAGGATCGATTCACCAAGGACTGTCGACGATTCCCCTCCTTGAAGGAGGCCAAACGAGCGAAAAATGTCATCATGCTGCTGGGTGATGGCATGGGCATGCCGACGATCTCTGCGGGTCGATTCTACTCGGCCCAGAAGTACGACCAGAACGGTTCGAGTTCCATTCACCCGTTCGAGTATTGGCCATTCAACACGATGGCACGGACCTACGATCTGGAAACCATGGTTACCGATTCGGCGAGCTCTGCTACCGCCTACCTGACAGGTGAGATGGCTTTGTTTGCATAACCCTCGTGTGTGTTAAGGCACCAAAACGCGGACGGGCATGATCGGATTGGACGGTACTGTGGGCTACCAACAGTGCGGAGTCTGGCCGAAATCCAGCTACACCGAGTCGGTCCTCGAGGCCGCTGTCAAGGCTGGCAAGGCCACGGGCATTGTCACCTCCACGAGAATCACTCACGCGTCTCCCAGCGGTTGCTATGGTCACGTCAGTTTCCGTGATTTGGAGGATGACTCGTAAGTGGATGCGATTTGAGTGGAGCATTTTAACACTACTGATGTTCTGTTTTCAGAGCGGTCCACAAGATGTGTCCAGAACAAGCTGCTGCAATGCCATGCCAAGATCTTGCCTGCCAACTGATCACGTATAATCCAGACATTAATGTAATGATTGGCGGTGGACAAAAGTATTTCTACCCAGATACGGTTGAACTCCCATCAGATGCCAAAACGAAGGGAACGCGTTTAGATAAACAAAACCTTGCTCAGATGTGGATCGATAACCAGGAGAAGAAAGGACGGAAATACTGCTATATCAGCAAACCAACAGATCTAGCGAATTGCAACGCCGATGAGGTGGACTACATTCTAGGTAAGTGCTCGAGCAATGCCTGTCCACGAGGACAACCCACTTCGAACCAATCGCGAGACGATTTTCGATTGTAGGACTCCCTTACGGAAGTCACATGCCCTACACTCACGAGTTGACGTGGGAGGAGCCGACGCTTCTGCAGTACGTGCAGACGGCGGTGAAGGTGTTGGAGCGCCAGAAACAGGGCTACTTCCTCTTCATTGAGAGCGGTCGCATCGACCACGCGCACCACGACAACGAAGGCAGGTAAGCCGTGCACGTTAGTCACTTGGCGCCTTGCGCATTTTGTAGACGGTCGCTTGACGAGATGGCGCACTTCGACTTGATCGTGACCTACCTTCAGAATACGGTGAACTTGAACGAGACCCTGATCATCCTAACCGCGGACCACTCGCACACCTTTGAGTTGGTTGGACAGCCGGGTCGCTTCCAAAATATCCTTGGTTTGGACCAGTACTACAGCCAACACGTAAGCTGGAGTTGTTCGATTGCCACTGTACCTCCCGGTCGAACTCTCATTCACTGGAATTCCGCTTTACAGACCAATGACAAGATGCCATTGCAAGGCCTAAACTACATGAATGGACCCAACGGCTTGACGAATGAGTCTCGTAAGAATCCTGCGGTGCTTGATACTTATGCGTGGACCTACAAACAGCAGACCCTGGTTCCACTGAGCTTCGCGTCTCACGGCGGAGATGACGTCGGTGTGTACGCCACCGGTCCCATGTCCGCGATCTTCCACGTAACCGTCGACAACACCATGATCGCTCAGGCCATGAAGTTCGCTCTTGGTGTGGAGCCATACACCAACTCCACGTACCCGTGCGAAGGGAGAGTATGAAGCGGCGCGATGTAATCTGCGTCCCTCCCCCCTCCTAAACAAATTACGCCTATTTTACATGTTTGTAACTATGAATTTCAATAAAAGACCACAACATCTTGAATGCTGATGCCTTGTTAGTTAAAGCAGGAACGCGTTTACGACTAAGACTATCAAGTTTGGGGGTTCGTAGTATAAAGAACACGTGTCAGGGACTGCAGAGTGTTGAGGGCAGAAACTAAAAGAGATTTTGCCGTGCAAAAGTGGTGAACCCGGGGGGTTGTTTGCAGCCTCTTACACTCCTCTGCCGTATTGGCTACATTTGAGGGGACTATTGGACGCACTGACCGGTGGTTGGTAACACTTGGATCTAAATAGTCTTTTCCTCATTGGAATTGATGCTATGCGACTTAAGGGATTTGACGTGTGCAGAGTGGGTAAGGCCATGCAGCACTGGTGTTATGCTACCGAACTTTCATGATATCTCTCACGTCGTTTGTATTGATGCAACAGGTCAATCGTTAAAGATCTGGGTCTCTAACACTCATGGCTGTTTGGTTATCTAATTGGTCACTTCCTGGAATACCTTGGTTCGACTGGACCATAGATTTATCGATTTTTCGGGTATTTGAAGCCTCTAACTGCTGAAGAACTTTCCAGTCCCTGTTTACAGGGAAAACGTGCGCGTTAACTTGGCACAATTTTTTTGAGTAGAGCGTTTCAACTGCAGCTCTAAACATGTCCACAGATTTGTGCACAAGGCGTTGAGGTGAGGTTAGCTGTTTAGTTTAACGACAAATATGCTTCCTCCGGCAAAATCCATTCGACGACACTTCATACTCCTCAAGAGGGTTTCATTGCGTTCTCAGGAAACCCCCTAACACCCGTGCCAACTGCCTCAGGGGGACCACCTGTTCTTTTAACCACACCCAAATATCATGTGGTGCAGGTGGCTTGACACTAGGGCAGATAATGTTGCATTAACTGTAGGCACAGCATTCGTGCTTAGGAAGCAGAAATCAACACTAATTCAACCAAAATGTACCGAATTCCTTTTACGACTTTGCTGTTCCCGATAACAAACATAAAACTCGAGTATTCGATGTTTACAAATTCGAGTTGATTGTTTGGGGTGCGTTGTTAGTTACTGCTTTTTTATTGCCTGTTTGTCTACGTGTGAATTGTGGCTAGTAGAGTGTGGGAAATTGCAAGTATCAGTGTTGTGACCCCATTGGTCGGAAATTGTCCAATCAAGTCCACGCACAAAAACCCACTGTCCAATCCTATTTCCCTAAAGTAATCCGCCCAATTAAAGTACTCAATCACGAATCAGTGAAAAAAATTCGATTTTTTAGGTATCTCAAATGGAAAAAAATGTGTTCCCGTGGTTAAAACAAATAATCCAGTTTTCACTAAGATGGATCATCAACGGACCCGACGAACGGTTGTAATAACACCTTCGCATTACTGAACGATTAAAGTAATATATGAAGTCGAGCTATACTTTTGTCAAGGTCTTTTATTTCTATTGGCCAGAATTTGTCTGCTAATTTCTGAAGCGTCTGTCATATATTTGAGATGCCACAGTTATAAAAAAACACATATGTAAATTATTTGTAAGTTTGGCGATTATGTTGCGTGTGTGCTGATTCCAGCCTAAGTGAATCAAGCACCCTGATAGGCTAACGATGCCAGCCAATCAAAATCAACCGTGTGGGCACATTGAACACAGCGTTTTGCAGGGGCCTATATATATAAAATCAAGCTTTTTAGAGCCAGCACCACATCGCCATGATTAAGTGCGCATTTGTCTGCGCTTTATTGTTAGTTTTCGACGTCACCCACGGTCTCCCCGAGGTGGACCTGCCGCAACCACCTTATCCAATCAAAGAGGAGGAAATCAGTCCCTCTTATTGGGAGAGTTTGGCGCGCAAGCAAATTGACCGGGCAAACAAACAGTTCCCCGAATGGGCCAGCAAGGCGAAGAAGGCTAAAAATGTGATTCTTTTCCTCGGCGACGGTATGGGTATCCCCACCCTCGCGGCGACCAGATTCGACCAGAATTTCACAGATGGCAAAGCTGCAAAGCACAGCTTTGAGGATTGGGATTTTGGGACCCTCTGCCGAACATACGACCTTGAAACCATGGTTACGGACTCTGCTTCCTCGGCTACTGCCTACCTCACTGGTATGCTCACTTGTTAATACCCCCATTAATTGCATCTTACTGAAGGCAATTCAGTACGAATACTTATGTAAATTTTTTGTGATGCTCTGGACAGGCACCAAAACCCGGACTGCGATGATCGGCGTGACTGGGGCCATTAAGGTGAAACAATGCGCCGCCTACACTGCCGAACAGAAGACCGAGTCGGCTCTAGTTGCAGCACAGAAAATCGGAAAATGGACGGGCATCGTGACTAGCTCCAGAATCACGCACGCCTCTCCCTCTGGTTGCTATGGCCACGTTGCTCATCGCGACTGGGAATCGGATTCGTAAGTCTTTTGTGGAGTTAATTTTTGCATTGAAATGTCAGCCATGCCCTTAGAAGGATGCACACAAGTTTCTATCCCCAAAATCTCCTCCACCAATCACTTTATGTCTGTGATCGTGCTGATGATTTCATTGGTTATTTAAAACAATAATGACTTCCTAACATTTATGTCTTGCTTGATGCCATCTTGCTCGTTCTGTGTTTGTTGAATCTCTGTAGCCCTGAATTGACGCGTTAATCAGTTCTTACGCCACTTTTGTTTACATGTTGTAACAGAAAGTTACCCTGCAATGTAAACCAACCTTGCGCTTGCACTGACTTGGCATTCCAACTGGCAACTGAACATCCCGAATTTCGTGTGATTTTCGGAGGTGGTCAGCAAAACTTTTATCCAAAGGACGCGCAACTGCCGTCAAGTACTTCGTCCAAGGGCAACCGACTGGACAATAGAAAGCTTTACGAGGAGTGGCAAGCTGGCCAGAAAAACATGGGCAGAAACCCACTGTACATTGACAGTCCCAGCGCTTTCAAAACTGCCAATTTCGACGGCTACGATTCCGTGATGGGTAAGATTTGGTGTCTTGTGCTTCTCATTGATTGGCTGTCGGACAGGCTAAGGCGTCTCTAGCCTGTCTGCTCAGCAACTGTGGTGGTAAATTCAAACCTAAACAAGACTAACGTGTGTGTTAATTTGATTAAACACAGCCCTAATCTCGCCATCTCACCTGCCGTATGAATTGGACAAGCCAGAGGGTGATCCAGGTCTGTACGAACTGGCAACACAAGCAGTCAAGATCCTGAAAAAGAGCCCCAACGGCTTCGTGCTGTTCGTGGAAGGCGCCAGAATTGACCAGGCTCATCACGAAAATCGAGCCAGGTAAGACACCTCGTCTGTCTCCGCCTCTAATTGGTCAAATGGCCTTGTTTAAGCAAGAGCATGCCTTCTGTTGTTGACAGAAAGTCGTTCGCGGAGATGCATGAATTCGACAGGGCGATTCGAGACATCGCCAAGGAATTGGATCCAGCCGAAACTCTGCTCATCTTAACCGCCGATCACTCGCACTCCTTCGAGCTAGTTGGTCAACCAAGTCGCTTCCAGAATCCTCTGCTTCAAGACAAAATCAAGGGCTCGACGGTATGGCAGCATTGATTTCCGATAATAAACCTCAAAGCCACAAATAAGAGTGAACACCTATTGATTTTAAGTGAATGTTTTCAGACCACGCACGACTACCTACAAAACATCAGTAGTTATTCTTTTTCGTGTTACTGCGGGGCTTCGATTTCAGTTGATTTTTTTGCACTTCTAGACCCTGGACAAGAAAGGAATGCTTCCTGTGGGGTACATGACAGGTCCGGGTGCTAAGATGAATACCACAAGAGAAAATGTGACAGCCATGAATGAGACCTACCTTCTTGGCAAGGACACCCAACAGCAGGCCTTAATTCCCATTGGCTGGGCGACGCACGGAGGCGACGATGTGGCGGTTTACGCCAACGGACCCTTCAGCTACCTCTTTCACTCCACCGTGGACAACACGCATGTGGCACAGGTCATGAAGTATGCAATTTGTGCTCCGCCCTACGAAAACGAACCCTTCTGCCTGGGCTGTGGCAGCCTCAAGGCGTCCTTCATCGTGCTAATTGGATTGGTTGTTTGGAGCCTGTTCAATTGACGAGTCTGCAATTTCACCAAACACGCCACCTCAACCTTGTACTTTTACATTTCTGTGCACAAATAATTTTGCTCTGCAAATGATGTCTTTTTGTGGCTTAGAGAATGCTCCACGTCTTGGAATTGGTCATTATCGTTCGAGTAAACTATAGTATAACTACTATCTAATATTAAGTAGCAATTTTAATCATTTCAATATCAGTGGGTATATTATGGTTGTGTCTACATAAAATCATTTTGGAGTCAGATTACAAGCTAGAAGATATTTACATGCCCACTAGAAGGCATTTATGTTGGAGTGAATTTGAATGTGCACCTTTGGTTGCGATTTTATGCGTTGGGTTGTGACCAAGGCCAAGATCAACTTAAAAACGGATTTTCATCCGCGGTTATGACATGATGCAGGATGGATTGTCAACATTTGGTCGCCTAGTGACCTTTTTGTCATCGCCTTAGCCCCTCCATGACTGTTCTTGGTGCAGAACCAAGATCCAGATCAACGTCTCGAGTGCATTTCTGCTGTACCTACAACACGATGTGGCACTGTCAAAAATTCCACATTAAAAAATCAACCACAAGCATATATTTCTTTCGATAAACTCCGCTCAACGCTGTCTTGAGTTGCGGCATGTTGTTGAGGTGAAATTGTCGATGGAAGCGACGTGGTCGAATTTGAATTGGCAGTGACCTATGCTGAGGGTGAATATTTGCTCGGACCGTGAACGGCATAACAAGAACAATAGCCAAATTTAGGTCAAATTTTAATTATTACTAAATTATTTTCAGTAGTGCAATTAGTACAGACGCAGATGGAGAAAGCGAAATATGGTAATACACCTTCGAGCCCGACATGACATGAGGAAAGTGACAATGAATAGCTTAAGGGTGGACAGCAAGATGCATTACCATGGAGATGGACTATAGGTAAATCATTGAGCACTCAAATTTAAGCTCGTGAGTTTGGTTGTGGCGTGCAGTGCTACGGTCTGAGTCTCATATGATCTGATTGGTGCGTCTTACCTTGGGCTGAGGTGATGAGTGCGGTTTCGGGTGTTATCCGCCAAACCAAATTCAATTTGTTGCCCCACATGCTTTGGCTTGCACTTTTAGCCTTTGAATGAAAAAGATTTTACTGATCGCTTTCTGACCGTGCATGCCTACTTGCAAAATATCAGTAGCCTATCACTTTATGACGATTCAAGGGAGTGGTGTGTGATTCAGCAAATTAAATCTTCCAGATATGGAAAATTGCAACATTTTGTTTTACCTTAGTGACTTCCCGTATGATGAGGTTAATTTTGCGCCTCAGTCGATAATACGTAATCTTTTTTTGTAATTTATTCGTCTCTGGCTCATTTGTTTGGTAAATTCGTAGATGCTACTGCTGTTTACAAACACGTTAACAAAAACACTTGTTTTCTTTGCAGCTAAATAGGCACTCTGCAAATATTTTTTCTAGAAGAAATAAATCAGTCTAAATTAAGGAATTTGAATTGCTAAAAATTTGTGTGTAAATTTTCCACGTAAACTAACATGGACTAATATATTGATCCAGAAAAAAGCTGAAGCTGTTCAATAATTGATTTCAAGTTCTTTTTTTAAAACTATAAGCTTTGTTTTGCAATCACATAGTTGACCAACAATTTTCGCTGTCTAGCTGCATACGTAATGACATAAATTTCATAGATGAAATAGAGTAAAATATTAATGCTGCAAGCCTTTTTAAGTTAATACATCCACAGTTAGTCAAAATATTTCACAAATTTGCTTAAAAATTATGTTCATTGGAAAGCAAAGTGCATTCTAATAACCTCAGCCTACCAAAAAACGACTGAAGGAAATTCTTCTTCACAAGATCTAGCTGCGGCCTTCAATTGTTTTATCTTTTGCATTGATACCAAGACTGAAAATGTCGTAAAATTTCAAAAGTTAAAACGGCTCGATTAAAGTGCATAATGGGGAAATTAAAATTAACCCGTTCCTCAGAGGGTTGACTACTAAGCATGTGAAAGAAAATGATTAGACATATGGATGTTAGAGCGAAGCAGATGACAGGCGCACTGTTAAGCCACCTTTGAGGTATAAAAAAGGATTGAAGCTTAGGTGGCAATAGTTAGGTATGCAGATATGAATAATGATGAAATCAATTGGATAGAGAATACACCAGGTCCACAAATTTTGTCTCATGTGTTGCTATTATAATATTCAAATAATTATCATAATTGACAGTTAATGGATTTGTTTCTCTAAAGTGCTGGTTTAAGACTGTTCCATGTTGATGCGAAATTTCCTGCTGAAAAAAAATTGATTTTCAGACACTTCAAACCGATTTTCATAATTTATGTTGACATTCCAGCAGAGTGGACTTTTAACAAAGTATCTAAAAAATTACTAATTAGAACAATGATATCTGATCAAACACGGTTTCTTAATGTTTTATAATTAAATATTACTTTGTAAGCAATATACTACATGCTTTTTATGAAGCACAGGTATAAATAGCTAACTGCGTTTCTAAATTTGGCAAATTTTATTATTAGATATACAATATTTTGTTATTTAAAACGCCTTTTGAATGCAATCAAAATTTCACCTGCTCAGGTATTTCACAATCTGATTTGCGAATACTGATGATGCTGTTGTCCGACCTTGACGTTGTATTGCCTTTATTGCCGTTCCCGTTACCTGTTAACGCGATGGCTTGGGCTCAAGACTATCAGCCCACCATTGATCCCAATACTAATGCGGCGTACGTTTGTATTTTTTTTCAACTTAGAATATAGAGCTTTTCAAGAACCTTTGGCACGAACTACACTGAAAGTTGAAAACTCACTGGCTAATGCAATTAAATGCTCCCCTGAGAGCTCGGACACTCTGCAGCCAAATTCATGTGTTAATGGCAATAATGATGCAGGCAATAATATTTCAACCGCTGCACCATCTGTTGGAGTAATGTTACCCGATTACCTGAAGGAGGATTTGGATATTGTTGTGGTAGGACCCTGAAATTTTTTAAACTTCTGTCAAGATCGGCATCAACCCTAGTTTGGGTTCTGGAAATATTTGTCACCACTACGCGGGTACCGGAAACCACTTCTGTATGTCAGGTCCTTTTGGTGTAATGTCTTTAGGGACATGTCTGTATGAATCTAGGCTAGTACCAGTGCCTGTTGATTTCAAAGATGATGCAACAGTCCTAAAATACGGAATCGGTTTCACCAATATTTGTGCAAGATCATCTAAAGGCACCTCTGACCTATCCCGGAAAGATGTGAAAGAGGGATCAGCAGCTATGCTTGAGAAAATTCGTCACTATAATCCCAAGATTGCCGTTTTCAATGGAAAAGGTACTTTCATTATACATTTGCATGCTTTTTTGTGAACCCAATTAATATAATATCTCTATCTTTTTCGTTAACCTAGTGTAAGTGGCTCTTTTGTTTGTATGTTCGGCTTTCCATTACGTTGCTCTTGTTCTCTGCTCATTTTTTCCAATATTGTGTCCTGATCAGCGCATGTCTTTTAGGAATTTACGAAACCTACGTTGGCCACAAAAACTTTAGTATGGGCAAGCAACCCGAGCCGCTAGAAGGGACAAATACCGTAAGTACCTTGGTCTTTCTCAAAAGTCTGATCTGTTGAGCTACTCTTACCGGCCTTTTTTACCAGGTCATTTTCGTCATGCCCTCTTCAAGTGCCAGATGCGCACAACTACCCCGGGCTGAAGACAAGTTGCCATTTTTTGTCGCTCTGCGCAAACTGCGGGAACACTTGCGTGGTGAACGGCCGCACTTGGAGGAGGCAGAAGTCGTGTTCGCCGACTACACGGAGTTTCGCGTAACCACGCCTGATCCTAAGAGTCTGCGCAAAGCGGAACGCCGTAGAAAACGCAAATCCGAGGCAGCCGCTGCTGCAGCGGCGCTTGAGCAATCAAACAGAGGACTGGATGGAAGTGTCTTGGAGAGTGGTATGTCAAAGTGACTTCGTTTCCTGTTAGTAAGTAATAAGTTCTCAGCACCTACTACTACAAATCTCCGTCACCGATTAAGTAGTCATATTCAAAGTTTGTTTTTCCACGTTAAAAACCGGTGCAGACGGCGAGATTAGACCCAGGAGTGCAAAATCCTAAGTACAAACGGCATTATAGTTTTCCTCCTTAAAAAGCGACAAGATTGACGCCCACAGGTGCACCAAAATCACGCCTATTGTTGCATTCCAGCCAATCTGCCGGCCTTGAGTGACGTGAGACTTTTTTCGACGGTTTAAACAGATCAGATTCGCTAGTCTTGAAGGTGTCTCTGCCTCAGCGTGTGCCCTACTTCATGTCTCTTCCTCGTGTCAGTTTGAGGAGGTCTGTCGGCTGGCTATGAGTGTGCTGCTGCTGCTGCTGCTGATTCCACCTCAATCTAGTTTATGCCCGTGCTTTTCAGCCCTTTTCTTAAAACAACAACAGGTAATCAGCAAATATATCTCAGCCGTCACGTCTGCAAGTTGGTTGGGTTTCGTCGAAATGCACTGGTAAACCAGCGTCTACTTCGCACCAACGTCCTTGCATCTTGCTTGTGCTTGTGGAAGTGCCCAAAATTCGTATCCTGTCTTGATGCGATCTGTGATCCGTGCACTGCTGCCAACCACTCCATTTATACCTCTCCACGCTTGCATTTACAGCGTCCAGAGAATTTGGTCTTGCGGATTTGTGCTAGGTTTCTGCGTGTTCCACTGAAATCTACTCGTCTAGTGACAGGGACATCGTTAGCCACAGGATTCGAGCCCTTCTTTCAGTGGCGTCCTGTTGCCTCAGCAACATGTCACCTCTGCGCCCCAAGAGACTGCTTAAAGTAGCAATGGAGTCGTCCTCTTTTCAAGCCACGATTTTGGAAGAAGTCATCACCTTTTCTGGCTGATCGAACAGGCTACAAACTCATCCTATGTCCTCTCTACATCGGTACACTTCCTGCTCGTGAACATTACCGGTGGGTCGCGTTTGTGTGGTAAATTGCATCGTCTCGTGAAGGTGGGGATCACACGAAACTAGCACCTGCCATCGTCGTGAGGTCAACCGTCTGCCTCGCCATCACCGACGTCTGCCTCCACGACCCCCTTCCCTCCCTCCCACTAGACCTATCTCTCTCTCTCTCTCGCCCTCCCTTCTCTCGTTTGGTCCTCGCTCTAACCGCCCGTGCCCCACTAACTCCGCACCGGTAAATCGACCACCACCGCGTCGTGCCGCTGTCTCTCTCACCCACACACACGTGCACACGCGCCCTCCCTCTCTGTCTCTCTCTCTGCCTGCATGTGTGTGCGTACACGACTTGGTGCGACAGACAGGCACGTGCGCGGCACGCGTACAACCGATCGATTCGTGCGCGTGCCGTGTTTACGTACCTGTCTGCCCCACGCACGCGTCATCGCTCTGCCCCGAGCCACGCACGTGCGTGCGTGCGTGCGCCTGACTAGGCCGCATTCCAGTTGAGAGTGAGAGTTGGAGGGAGAAAAGAACGTGCGTGTTCGCGAGGTGACGCGGCGTGCGTGCGTGCGTGCATGCATGCCAATCGAGGTGTAACCCTCTGGCCCATAGCGGAGAGGATTGCCTGGGTTCACGGAAATTGCGGAATGAGGGCTATTCGGTGCTTCTCCTTCAAACCGCCACCACTCCACGAAAACCTCGTTTAATCGCTCTCAACGCGACCGCGGAATGCATCGGTCAACGGGCCGAATTTCCAGGGTTTTGATTGGGTCGAAAGCCTCCAGATTTAGTTGATAATACAATAAAATTAGCCGGTACCAAACTGAAGAAATAGTGTCGAATCTGCGTTGCACATTTGAGTGTTCGGTCAAACTCACCTCTCGTCACCATACATAGGTTGCTTTGGAATGCAGCGGTTTAAATGGGATTTTCCACCGTCAAAACTGCTTGTCCACTTGTGGCTTGGGAAGAGGAACCCTACTGTGGCTTCAAATCTCCGTAAAACGGGATTGACTCCATCGGTTTTTTCAAGTTGGACTTCTAAAATGATCCACCTTTTCTATGTCTACTTAAATTATGATAGTAGCAGTACTTTTATGGGCCCGTTTTGAATTGCAGCGTCTCCTCGCAAGAAAAAAAAGCCGACTCCTGCTATCAGCCTCCAGCAGTCGGACATGGATATGGAAGCCATGGCTACCGCTGCGGCCGGTGCCGCTGCCACCACCAAGAACATCGCCGCGCCATCAGCGTTTATTTCGGCTGAGCAGTTTCAGCTCCATCAGCAACAGCAACAGCAGCACCACTTTCAAACGCAATCCCTGATGCAAACCCACGCGCCAACAGCTCCACACCACGCGCAGCAGCTCTTCGCAATGCAGCCCGCGGCGCAGTTTCACCCGCACCCGCAGCACCAGATGTTTGTTTCAGCAAACGGTCAGCTGATGGCAGCCACGCCAATGGTGTCCATTGCAATGCCGACGGCCGGCCAGCAGGCCGCGGCCGCCGCTGCTGCCGCAGCCGCCGCCACAGGCTGCTACGGCGCGCCTTTTCAACAGTTCATAATGAGCCAATCAGCGACGGGGCAGCCGGCGGGCATGGTTGCCTGGCAACCGACCACTGCGTGGTCAGCCTATCAGCACGCGGCGACAGCCACCGCGCCGCCTCCCCAGCAGACACCACAGCAATTTGTGTTCGCGGGGGGTCAACCGGCAGCACCCGCGTACCCCCAACACGTCTACCTGGCTCCTGCGTCGAGTAAGTTTGCTGAATCGATGATTAGTGTTAAACCGACTGCAAGGGCGGGATCCGAAGAGCGGTCTGTTTGCGCGTTGCCATGGTTACTTAGCCTGGTAACGAGGCCATAGCGAAACCGGGGTGTGACTCATGTGGCTTCGGTGGGAGGCTGTGTCCGATCTGCCTCATCCCCCACCCCAATTCTGACGTCATCATAACTGGACTTTAAGCTGATTGGTTGATGCGTGTTTGGTTCTTTTGCAGACCCGGCATCAGGCACGCCCGCATCCTACCACCTGCTGCCGGTCGGTTGTCACCCGCAGACCGGGTTTAACCCCCAGACCGGTTTCACGGGGGTCTTCGTGCCTGACCAACACCACGCACCTCAAGGCCACCAGCCTGCACCCCAGCCTGTGGCAGTCGCGGCGGCCGGACAGTCGTTGATACCCTCAGTCGACCCCACACAGGCAGCCACAGCCCCCCAACAGGCCCCCCTCATCACTCTGGGCAGCCCGCACTTCAAGGTCATGGCGGTGGGTGCGGGGGGTCAGCTGATACCCGCGGCAGCCGCCACCCCCTGTGTGCCGCACTTTGTGCCCCCACCAGCGGCACCGGTTGTGCCCCCGCAAAAGTCCCTCGCTGGCACCGTCAAGGTCTCCGCGGTCACCCAGACACCCAACTCCCTTCAGACCTCCTCTGTGCCCCTGGTCCAGACTGCCGCGGGAAGTGACGAAGGCGGACAAGCTGCGAGTAGTGCCTCCGATGAAAAAGTCATCTACAGTGCTCTGTGAAGGCTGTCAGGAGCGTGTGTGTGCGTGTGTATATATAGCAGACGATTGTGGTTAATATGTGTATAATGAACGTGTGATCTTTTTTCTGTACCTGTTGCCTTAGCAACAGTCTCCCTTGTTGACAAGGTCACAATCCTGCTGCTGGCCAATGAGATGGGAACTGAGCGAAAGAGGGCTTTGCTTATTGGTGCAGTGTGTTGATATAAAATTTCGAACATAGATACCAATCACAATCAGGGAGGATAAGTTGAGGGTCCTGCAATGACTTTCATCTAAGCTTTTTGAAGTTATGCTCAATGTCTATAGCGTGCTTCTGCTATAAAAAAATCAATACATATGGGCAAAAGTAAATCTTATGCCAAGATAAGTTCTTGTCTTAAAGTCAACTGATTCGAGAACATGTAAGTCATATTATGAGTTCACGTAAGAAATTGATCAGATCAGATTATTCAGACGGTCAGAAGATAAAAGGCGCTTCATTACTACCCAACCACTTTATATCATTTCAAACAACACCAGCAAGTTTGGAAGTAGCAGTCAGAATTATCTTGAAGGTAAATTCACACAGGTCCAAATTTTCTGTTAATTAAACACTACTTGTAATAATTTGACATATTTATGGCGCTTTCCTTGTAAGCACTTGATGATATATTTCCACCACAATTCATCCTCTTATTGGTTACTTCAAGGTTAACTCCGGTATCTGAACTTATTTCCCAATTGTAATATTTCAGTGAAGCACTGCATGTAAACTGTATGCTAAAAATCGTGGCATTTTATATTGACATTTTTATTTACTCTTACAAAACAAAGGAAAATTGTGCTTTTATATCTTCGCCAAATCACTAAACAACAGCATTAAACTTGACTTTTTGTATATTCCTTAGCCTTAAACGTAGTAGGATATTCACTACTAGTTAAAAATTAGGTAAAGTAAACGTTATGACTTTACGAAATGTATTACCGTTAATATTTAAGGCTGATCCAACTTTGTGTTTGTCTACGTTGTGGCATCACCACCTAAAGGTCAAGATGAGCGGGCGTTTTGTATGAATGGGGTCGGCTGATAGGGGGGCCGTCATAATACTATTCAACGAAAAAGTCCCTAAACTAGGTGATAGTGTGTATTATTCAGGTATGAAGTACCATTTGCTACACAATTTTTAGCTCCTGCGTTTTCCGACTCTCTTGTTTCCCCAGACACCAGTACAGCTGCTTCCGAAACATCCATTCATCTTGGTTGTCGTGTATTCTCCTCTCTAACAGTTACCAAATACAAGAAAAAGGGTAACAATTAGGCAACTAATTCCACCTAACTAGAAATGCCATCAGCTTGGAAAATGGCTGAAGACATAAAGTTCGTTTCTGGAAATCCACTTGTTGAGCAGACTGAAGGAATTATTCACTTCTTTACAAAATCGTAATTTATCAGGACTATCATATGTACGCATAGGTCCTCTAAAAAATCCTCAGACAGCATACAAACTTCAGAAATGCTTTGCATGCTGGGCATTCCATGCAGTATCGCCGTAAAGGACCTTCTAGTCTTTATTTCGCCAATGAGGTTCCTCCTGGTTTGGTTTACTAATTTTTTTTTATACAGCAAAGGAATAACGGAGGTCAAGATTGTTAAGTGCCACCTAATAGGACACTATATGGCTCTCATAAAATTTAAAACCACTGTAAGCAATTTACCCTCCGCATTGTAGCCTTTTTTGTCTAGACTGATGCAGACCAGTTTTATGCAACATTCAATGGCTCAAACTTCAACAGCTTTGAACCGGATGTGTGTCAGTTGACCTACGTCTCCCATGTGGAAGCTATCAGCACGTCATCTGGTGGTTCCTCTTCCTCCCACGGCGCATCTTTTCCCCTAAAAGGTCTTGTTGAGTTGCCCTCCTGTCCTGTGTGCCTTGAAAAATTGGTAATGTTTTTTTTCCCCAGCTGACTTTGCATTTGTAGGATGAACCCGTTGCCGGCATCCTCACTACAATCTTGTGCAATCACTCGTTTCACGATGAGTGCATTTCAAAAACCACGGACACCGTGTGATTACTGACTTTACCTGCTTATTTTTTACCCCAGATGTTATTTAATTTCTAACAGTCGTGTTTCGTGTCTGTTATAGTTGTCCGGTTTGTCGCTACGCTCAATCCCCAGATGTGCAAATCGACAGCCAGTGCGCTGATTGTGACCTACGCGACAACTTGTGGATATGTCTTATCTGTGGAAACCTGGGTTGCGGGCGTTACGGTCATAAGCATGCCTATTTTCATTACAAGAAGACAGGTCATACATTCGCTCTTGAAATGGGAAAAAACCTCGTGTGGGATTATGCAGATGATACCTACGTGCACCGAATTGCCGTGAATCAGGAAGATGGAAAGATTGTCCAGGTTAGTGATTTAAATTGCTCGGATTTGACGTATTCCAGCGGAAGTTCAATGCTTGCACTTTGATGTTATAGGTAGGCGAGGGAAGTGAAACGGGCGATAAGAAAACCGACTATTTGAGCATGGAATTCAGCGCCGTTCTTGTGAGCCAGCTGGAATCTCAAAGGCAGTACTTTGAGTCCCAACTGGAAGTAATTACCAGCGAATCTGCTGCTCGCATCTCATCGATCGAGAGTGAATTGGACAACACAAAACGCTGCGTCTCCAATCTGGAGTCGAAATTAGCCTCTGTCACGAAGGAAAAGAATTCACTTTCGCAGAAACTTGCACAGGTACTTTGCTCTTTATTGGCTTGTGCTTTGTGTGTGTACATTTTAAAGTTCCACATCACCAAAACTAGTGGTAACCGCTGAAATACCCATTTTTATTGGAGGGGATTTGGGTACTTGAATTGGCATCTTCGATTTCGTTTCTAGAGCAACGCAACCATCCAAAATTTGCAGATGCAGTTGTCGGAGAACACTGCTCTCGTTTCCGGTCTTTCATCTAGTCAAGCCGTCTGGGAGGCTCGCGCTAAGAAGGCGGAAGAGGAATTAAAACAGTCAAATGAGGAGTTAAAGGAGCTCATGCTGAATCTTGAATTCCGCGATAAACTGGCGGAGGCTACTGCAGCAAATGAGGTACTTCGTGGTGCCAACCAATGTCTGGTGCTTTCACATGAATCACACCCTGAATCGTGTCGTTTTTGTGATTCTTTTTTGTAGATAACTGAACAAGAACTAGCCAACAGTTCTGTAACCGTGACTGAATCAAAGAGGTGTCGCCGCCGCAGGAAGAATCGCTAGTGTGCACAACCGTCACTGCTTTCCAATTTTTGTACAAAAAATGTCCCTTCCTTTTTTTCATTCCTCCGTGCTGTGCCGCTCAGCATCACACAAAAATTCTTATTTTAACCCCGAGTCAGCGTTTTTTATTGTATTGTGACACGCGAGCAAACAATAAAGCTAGTGCGGTCGACACGTCTAGACAAGAAGCCGGCAATGATATTGGCACGCGGTGATAACTGGTCTATCAGGAAAGTACTCAATTTCCCGTTCTCCTTCGGTCGACAAGGTTATCGCTTAAAACGCCCATTTATTGCGACTCCGTTAGACCAAAAAAATAAGAGGAGGTGAAAAAGAAGGATGAGTAGTTAAGTAAAGGCGCCAAATGATGAGTGGGAGGAGCATAAATGCCAGACAGGAAGGGGGGCGGTTCCCACTGGCTGGGGGTTAGCCGCGTCTGATTGGCTGCTCGGGGAAGATGGAGTCTACACAAGCCACTTGCATGATTGGCGCTAGGTGCGCTGCGGCCTCGTCGAGGTAACCGTTCGCCAGATTGGTTTCCAGGAAGAGATTCGCCACCAGCCGGCGATTTGTCGTCACCTCGCCCAGATCACTGGAATTCGTGGTCTGACAAAAAAACCGAGCATATATAACGCACACGTGAGACAATTCCTGGCGCGTAGGCGACTGCACTATGCGTAGCAATAAAGCGTGACTTGTTGCTGCATTTAACTAATGACATCCCCGTTGCTAGACGCGTGAGGTGTCGAATTGAGTGATTCCAGCATCGAGCAGAAATGAGAGACCACACGACACAGCTATTGCGCACTCCCTGCACAAACAAGCCCTTCTCAATCTCGACACTAAACTTCTTTGGGCTAACACGAAAACGAGGAATTGAATTGCCTAGTGGGAATGTGACGCTGGAAATCCCTACACACACACACTAATTGATGAGGATGCCTCAAGTCAGATTGAATGAACACAAGGCGCTTGGCACACAATGCGAAGCGATAAGTCACCTGATTCAAATGCTCGCCGTACGTAGAACACAAGCAGTCATTCAACATCTTCGATTCAGTTACAACGCTAAAAGAACACAAAGAAAATAAGTGAGTGCAGGTAGAGAATTAAGCAAAGCAGTTACTCAACCAAAAAAAACAAACTACTGGTCGTCGGTGGTCGCTCGTATTTGATAAAACGCGGCTAAATTACTTTCCTCCGTGAACTTTTTTTTTAAAATTGCGCGCGCACAATTTTGATTGGTCAGTTTTGAGCTCAGCTGAAAGGGACATACATTGACACTTTTTCGGCGATGTCAAGGAAGCCAGTAATGAGGCGATCGGGCTGTGCTAAAAGGAGGCACTCGGAGAGCTTGTGGAGGTACGCCAAATTCGACGCGGTCACCTCAGCTAACGCCTCGATGGCACAGCAGAAGATCTCCTAAAGCAAACGAAGAAGCCTCGTTAGACCTGAAATGCACATCCAGAGAGAGAGGACAAAATGCCGGGGCTTTTACCATTACTGGAAGGTCAGAGGTGAGGTGCTTGCTCTTCTCCTGGAGTTCACTGCAGGTCTACAGAGAGGTAAAAAAAGGCATTAAATGCCAGGGACGTCTAGTTTGACGGGGATTACGCTGACGCCTCACCTTTTGAAGAGTCGAACCGGGAACTACGGCGTCCAGAACAGACAAGGCGTCTGAAAGCGAGGATGCCGAAAAGCCACACGCTTCCTCTGTCTCCTCTGCCTCACGATCCTTCAAGTGAAGCGTATGCCAGATCTTGTCGAGCACACCGCCCTCACGCGTGAGACTGTCGACGACGCTGGACTGGTCGTCGCCAGTGACGGCTTCAAGACGCGCGAGTTTGGTGCCAAGACGCGCAGAAGCGCGGGAACTGAGCAACTCCAGGGCCTCCATGTGCACCGTGCCCAGTCGAGACTCGAGCTGGGAGACGAAGTCGCCGCGACGAGCAGCTGAAACGCACGCGGGGCCGCCGGACGCCGACGTCTCGTGGGGGGGATGAGAACTCGCCTCACGCAGGAGCTAGAAGGCAGAAGGCGAGACAAAGCGCGTGATGAACGCGTCTCCAGTGCTCTAGCCTCACTACGACATTTATACAAGGCAGCTGAAAATGCCCTCGCACAGATACCTGCGAAAGACTCGACGTTGTCTGTTCACGTTCAACAGGTCGGAAGATGCGCTTGGTGTAGACCAGTCCGGGATCGTTTTCCTTCAGTGCTGTGAAGGTCTTTCGGCCGATGTGTTCAAGCACGTCGACTCCACCGTGGAGCAGTTGCATGCCCTGGTCAGGAGAAACATCAAAAACACACACACACATACACACGAAAAAAAAGACACGCAAATCGTGATCGATTTGTGAATACAGCAGTTTTGTGTGTTAGCATTAGGGGGAACGGCTAGTCGTCGACATCTAGAGCAAAGCGACGTTCTAGCGAACGAGCAATGCGGTGTTTGATGACTTAACGCGTAGCTTATTTAATCAAGCAACACACCAACTCACAAATTAGCGAGTGTAACGATTTTTTTGAATAAAACACGATCCAATGTTGAGTTTTCAGTCGCACACACACACACACACACAGTAAGCAAATTAAACGAGCAGGCACAGGTATGATGGCAGGCCACCGCACTACACAACTTGAGCTCACCAAAACCAACTTAGCAACCAAGACGGCACACGAAAATCCCGATGTTGTTTACTTACCGTGTTCTCCACAGTGGATGTGAGTGACTTGGCCAACGACCCCAGACCCCAAACCGTCCAGCCACTGCTGGACTCGTTAGAGGGTTGTGGCGCATCAGCTGGTTGGTGGTGCTCCGGCGCATCACAACTGACTGGACGCCCAGCTGTGGGATTTTCGTCGAAAGCGGACAGTGTTGAGGAGAGATTGGCGAGTTTGAAGCCTTCCACGAGGTTGACTAGTCCACCGCCAACTGACTTGACCAAAGCCGTCGCCACAGACGCGAACTCCTGCTCACCTCGCTCAGCCTCTTCCTCTTCGTGCTGCTGCGGTGGCGACGACTTCACCCCAGACGTCTGGTCTATGTCCTCAACACTGTCCCAGTTGTCGCCGATGTTCCAGGCATCGTCGTCGTCCCAAACGTGCCTTTGACTCGCCAAACGGTTCGAGTCTCTGGAGTTTGGCCCCATGCTGTTGGACGAGGTGGTCGTTGTGGTGGTTGTGGCGGCAAATCCTCCAGATTTCGCGGCAAACCCTTTTCCGTAGTCTTGACTTGGGACGGTTTGAGCCGGAGCTTCTGAATCGAACTCGTCTTCGGCAGTTTTAGGGCTAGTCCAGGGATCATCTTCCAGATCCCAGGCATCACCTTCCTCCACCGGCTCCGATTCATCAACTTTTTGATCCACTGACTGTTCACAGCCCCAAGAGTCTGTCTCAGCGATCGATTCTACCTTCTTCTTCACCGGTTCACTACCCTCTCGTGATCCCTCTACGAGGCTGGAATCGACGCCTGTTTCCTTCTGTCGTCCTTGCCTTCTTTCGGAATCTCGTGTGCCATGGGAAGACATTTTTATGGCTTGACAACCAAGGTCGTCTTTGGATGTCGCAAGTTGGCTTCCGTCCAACGTCCCGACATTATCTTCACCAATAACTGCAGCATTACCGAAAACTTGCGGCAATACCTCCGACGGAGACTTATCCACTGTTCCAGATGCTTTAACAACGGGAAAACTGTCTTCGTCGTCTTCTTCTTCTCTGGATGGCACAACCTCGGTTAAACAAATTTCCTGAGCAGTAGGAGGCACAGAGAACAGTTCTTGCGTTTTAGTGACGTCACTGGGTGCATGTGCAGTTGCATTCTGATGCAATTGGTCTGGAGTTTCGCAAATCCCGGATGTAACCTTCACGGGTTGCAACAGATCACCGCTAACATCTGCCGTGGGACTTTGCAAAAGATCAACCTGGTCGGAAAACCAGGGATCAGTCGATGAGTCTGGAATCTTCTGCACGAGATCTGGTCGACAGGACAACTTGGGGGTACCTTCTTTGTGGACGTAACATTCGACACCCTGGTCTTTGTCTGCGACGGACGCCGAACTCACGTCCCACGAGTCCCATTCGTTTGTGCGGTTCTGCCCGAAGTTACCGAGTTTAGCGTCAGTGGTGGAGTGGAGATTGTCGGGCCTTTGTGTCGCATCATCGAACTTTTTGACACCTGTTTGTGCTGTGCTGATATCGATGAGTAAACCAAGAGGCACATCACGTGATTCATCACCCTGAGCACCTGTACATCTGCCCGTGGTTGATTGGGCCTAAAATTGATTGATAATGGATAGTGCTGTTGGTGGTGCTCCTTTTGAAAAAGAGATATGCCCAAAAGCCCTATTTACACGTGAATCCGAAAAAAATTTAAGCTAGATCTTCGACTCCGGTCTTTACTCACTAACGGGTGTATCACAGCATCAAACTCTGGTAACTTGACTTTACAACACATAAGATACCACAGTATACCACGATTTGATTGAGTTTGCCTTTTTGCTATTTCACCAATCGATAAAATTACCAATGATTGGAATGTAACAGAAAATCAATGAAAATTACCTTCACCGATGATTGTAGAACAATGTGTTCATTATCAGAGCCCTCGTCGGCACTAGCAAACAACTCATCACTGCTTTCGTCTGACATACCTAAAACAAAGAAAATAGACGCCATACGAGAATTTATCACACTGATTACACAAATACAAAAATACGTGGTAGTCAAACCAACAAACGAAATCGCTGGTCTTTGTACTCACGTGTGCGGCAATTTGGTGTCAAGGATAAGCCAGCGATAAGAAGAAATACGCTATTCCAAACCAAGAGCACCAAACAAAACTGCTGCAGTTAACTTCGAATAAATTGGAACTGATCTCCCTTTTTATTGCATACAAACCCAAAATATTTCAACTATCTAGATGTGCCTAAATGAATTACTATCTTTACATTTATGGTTTAGTTAAACTAAAGAGTTTTCACAACTCAGTACTTAGAGCATACAAGTCGGATTGCTACATGACTGTCTACTACAGTACCTTTCTGATAAGTGATTAGTAAAAAAAGGCACAACCTTTAACTCAAGCAGACTACGACTTGTTAACAACTCACCGAGTCCAAGAACCTAATCGCAAATAATAAAATATGTACTTAGTGGCTGGAGTAGATTGTGCTTAATGACAAAGCCATCTAACTTGTGTACATACTGCTGACTTATAAAATATTATAGGTTCTAAAACCAGTGCCAAAAACAGTTGACAGAGAACAAACCTAGAAAAAAATATCATTAGTATCAAATACGGCGATAAGTCTGTGAGCACTAAATCTAAATAAAGTACTCCAAAAATGTGTTAAATTTAAGGAACTACTGTCAGTAGTTAAAAACGTATTAGTGTTTATTAACAATTGGATATACTCGGGGTTATTAAAAAGTCGATGTCCTGCGTGGCACATTAGGGCAAGCGCGAAATTACCAACAACGACGCAAATAGGCTATTTGGGCATAAAGCGAATCAGGTCAGATAAAAAGTTTGAAAACCAATTAAAATATTTAACTTTTTGACCTTGACATATATTTACAACTCTTTACTTTAAAATTCAATTTCTGGATCTTAGTTTCCATGATGATGGCACCAAAATAAATTAACAAAACCGATTTGATATTATAAACTGAATGTAAGACCTGGATCACAAAATCTAAGTAAGGTTATCTTCGAAAATTCGCGTTCTCATTATTTGCCTCTATGTCCATGGCGTCTTCATCTTGTTTAATTTGCACAGAATGTTCGGTTTTCTGTCAACTTTACATTACAAATCCAGGAGCTATGTTGCCAGATCTCTCTTAGGGTGTCTTTCAAATTGTCATCCATTTAATTCAACGAATTAAACTAGGACTATAGTAGCTTATTTTAAGTGTTCGAGGGCTATTTTTAAAAATTTATTATTGTTTCTTTAAGAATCGACTAAATATATATATAATCATTGTTTGAATAGGATTGGTTTAAACTGTAGCCAATTGGATTAACGTAGTAAATCGTATATATTCGGTTGGAGGTCGTCTTTTGTAACTGTCGCGTTGGCGTTTTTTCGGTTTTCTGGATGGCTCAATTTTCTGATCGTCTAAGCCAGTACCCACTAATTAGCGATTCGCTGAAGGCAACGTCCAATGCTTACTCATGGGTTTCCAGTGGCGAACGATTTCGTAAAATATTTGAACTTAGCGAAAGTGCGGCATCTGCTCTGAAGGAGAAGGCAAAAGCCCTCGCTAGCACAGGTGATTATTTCTTTTCTTGATTCATTTTCACTTAAAATTCACTCTATTGACATTTACTTGTGTTATTTTTATTGATTATTGTTTTTTGTCGATTGTTTGGAAGGGGTGTGAAGATTCACTTGCTCTTCATTAATTTACATTCTCTTGCTCTGTGAACACTTGTCGTAACCGCGAAGTTGAGGGTGCCTAGGCCTTAATTGAATTTCTACATGGTTTACTTGGTTTTTTGGACAATTCTTAAATGTCGAAATGAAAATTGCTCACTGCCTAACTCATTATTCCACCTGATCGGGTTTTTTTGCTGGCAGATGCTGTAACCAAACTGGACGAGATCGCTTGTCACCAAATCTTGGACCGGATGGAATCGGTGTTTCCTTCGGTGAAAAAACCCACCGAGGAATTGTTGGGTCCGGTAGCAGACCGCGCCCTTTCCGCCGCTGAAAGCTACCTCGAGTACTTCATGCCGGACACTAGGGCCAGCATCGTAAGTTCGTTGCCATGACAAACTTACAGTGGTGTTCCTTTGTAGGACCGCTATTCTTTTGTTCCTAACTACACTTAAAAGAATGAAGATTATGCTTAAATTTATTACAAGTGTGGTGTTTGTTTCTGTTCAAATATTTAATGTTATTTCTTGTACTCTAAAGGAGGGCCATGCTGTCGCTACACGCTACGACCGTCTAGTGCGTCTTCAGAGCGCCCTCGTCAACTCTGAGAAGGTGCAGGCGGCGCAAAACGCCATTTCAAAAGCCTACAAGGGCATCCAGGATCAGTTGGCCGGTCTATCAACTGTGACCTCGAAGGAAAGACGCGACGCCATGCTCTCAACCATCTCCAACCTCGCCACTGAGTACAAACAGGCCGCTGAAGTTGCCTTTCCGCGTTTCAAGACCTTTGTCAATGGGGCCATCGCTCAGTTGCAGGCCTTTGCGCAAGACCTCAAGCAGGTAAACCGGCCAGTATCCTTGAAACTGTCCGGGTTTCACACCTTGGCCGCATTCGAGTTTCGGTTTGCGGTTAAATGCCGAGTAAAATCGCCCAAACCACATTTCTGTTATATAAACAAATCGGCTTCTAGTCCACCCATGGTTCGCCCTACACGATCAACCGTTTACTGGATGTCCCAACTTAGCTGTGTCTACTCTGGTTATTGACCATTACAGTTTGGTCGAGCTGCTTAAAATGAAACGAGTAAGTACCCAAATAATTGAAATAGATAGCGGCGGAAGTATATTCTGTGAAGAAGTGGATGGTATGTCGAAGAATGCCACATCTTTCTGACCGTCAAAACGCCCCTTTGCTGAAAACGTTCAATGTTTTGGTACCACGACCCGAGTTCCATGTATCGTTCAATTCTCAGATCGCATTTTTCCCAATCTACTTTACCAATATTGAGAAAAAACATTTGATCAACTCAGATCGACTTATTTCGCGGGCATACATTTGGCTTATATGAGTTTTACTCGCGATTTATGGCCTTGTTGGATCTTGTGGCAGTTCGTTTAATTAGTATCAGCGTTAAACTCCCTCGAAGCAGTCGTGATTCGTGTCAAAACGATGATCATCTCTGTTTTGGTGTCGTAAGATCCACTTTAGCGAAACTAAGGTGATTTAGGATCGACACACGCACGGACCGTGTGTGCGCGAGTAGCTGTCAGTTCTTTAAACTTGCCGCGATTACCTCCACATGCCCTCGATGCGGCACCTAGGTGCTTTTTTTGCATAAACAAACGTGATTGTGGTGTGATGTGCTATCACTGGGCTAAGTACATGCATCATGCTGGCAGGCTGCACGTGCGTGTGTGTGTGCGCTTGTGTAGATGCCTCGCCTAAATGCCAACTCGGCGTCAGACGGCTATTGCCTCACATGCTTCTCTCGGTATTGGTCCGTTTGAGCACAAATACCCCACACCTGATGGGATCGCGTTTCTCGTTTGTGATTGGGCGCGCCTCGGGCCAATGACCTCAGGATCTTGTTTGTGTTTATGCAGTGTTTGGAAGGATTAACTTAGCATAAACATAATTACAAATGACCCAGATACTGTACACATTGGCCAAAACCCAAGCCAAGTCACTCTTATCTAGCTACTTGTACACCTGCTGGAACTTCACGTGTGCCCGTGTCTGCATAGGTTGCTTTTCTGCACCCGACGTGATTGTGGCTGAAATAACCATCGCAGTTTTCAATTCAAATCGAGCCTCGGCCTTGAAGTTTTCCTCATTTGACCTTGTTACCGTTTCGCAATGCCTGGTTTTCGGCATTCCAACGCAGGCGAGTGTAGGCACACACCGTCATCCTGTTTTTATTTTGCAAACTAGCACCTTGTTAAGTGCAAATTTGTGCCCCCCCCCCCCCGGCACTAAAATCCCGTTCCCCACTAAAAGTGCAGAATTCTTCTTGCCTGTGTTATCACGCCGG